GTAGCACTATGTCCCGATCAAAGTGCCCGCGGTCGCATTCTGGCGGCGTTCGCCGAAAATTTGCAAGCGCGCTAGACGACCCCCTGGCTGGGCCGAGCGCCCGCGCGACCTCGGGCGCCCCGCTGCGGCCCGCGGGCGCGGGCGCGGCATGCGAGTGCGCCAACGCGGCCGCGATCGCCCCTGCGAGCCCGATGCCCCAGGCGCCGAGGCGCCGCGCATTGGTTTCGCGCGGCGCGCGCGGACGGAGCGCGGCGAACGCGACGCGCGCGGGCGTTTTGCTCGCGCGCTCGCGGGGCGGCGGGCGCCTGGACATGGAAGAGAGAAGGAGGTGTCGGGTTGGAGCGGCGAGCGGTCTTGCCGCGCGTGGCGCGCGCGCGGCGGCGACGAACAGGCGGGCGCGGCGGTCGCGCGGGCGCGCGGCTGCAACGGCGCGCGCGCAAGGGCTCGGGCGAGGGTGGATGGCGAACAGATGGATTCCAACTTTAACCAGGCACGGGCCAATCGCAACTGCGAGCGCCGCGCGCGCTGCGCGCCTGGCTCGAGCAGCGGGTTTCAACGACGCGACGGCCGCGCGCGTTGGTCACTGCGGCGGGTGGCGCGGTGCGCGCGCGCGATCGCGCCAGACGCGCGCGGTGATCTGTCGCGGCAAAGGGCGAAACGTGAAAGCGCTAAGTTCACGATAGTGACCGCGACAAGTTCAAATAATCATTGCCTGGCATCACTTAGAGCGCGCGCAGCGTTATTGCTAGTGCATTCGAGCCAAAAGCCCCCTCGCGCGCGGATGTGCGCTTGGGCGGCTCAAGTCGCGCGCGCGAGTCGTGCGGCGCGGCCGCCGCCGACGGGATGGGCCGCGCCGCGCTCGCTCCGCGTGCGAGGGCGAAACGAATTGCGCGCGCGGCGGGCGCGCCGCGCGATTGCCGCGATGGCCAAGGTCTCCGCGGGGCGGGGTGGAAGGCGGACGCATGCGGCGGTTTTCAACGCGCGCTGCGGGCAGCGCCCGCGTGCCCCAGGAGGCAAGGAAAGCTGCTTGGCGGGCGGGGAATGAGCGCAAGCCGTCTGGCGCACGCCGTCGGACCACGTTGACCCTGCGCGTGGGGGCAATGCACCGCCAACCGTCGGCGATGCACCCCGCGCCCCGCCACCTTCCCCGCCGCCCGTGACACCGACGCGCGCTTGGGGGCCGCGGGAATTGCAATGGCTGGTGGGGCGCGCGCGCGAGCTGGGACTTCGCGAGACCCTATGTTGGGGATCGAGTGGCGTCGATGAAGAGCCGTTCTACCGCCCTGGGCAAGAGCGCGCCTAACTTCCTCTGGCCGTCGACGCACCAGGGGATCATAACCGCGCGTCCTTGACCAACCGCCACGCGGCGTGACATCGGCGTCGCGCACATGGCGCGAGCTTGCGTTCTCTCGCTGCGCGAAGCCCCACCAACAAGAACGCTTCAAGCGCAGGCCGTGCCAACCAACATACGGGGCAGATCGCGCCATCCTCTGTCCCCCCGCTCGCGTCATGGCCCCCGAATTATCGTGCCATCATGCTCGCGCGCAGATCAGCCACTTGCGCGCGCGCGCGGCCGATGCGCTAAATGAGCTCGGGAACCGCGCGGCGCTGCAGATAGTTCGTCGCGCGCGACGGGGCCAGGCCACCGGTGGTCTGCTGCAGGCGGGCGCGCGCCGTGGAGGCGGGGGGCGTGGGGGCGCGCGCCGCGCTCGCCGAGCGCACGTCTAGGCGCGCTGGCACCGCAACCCTTTCAACGACGGCGACGTCGATCGTAAGCGGCGCTCTGGCGAGCGCCCGCGGCATCACGATCAGGCTCCGCATTGGCGACGGACCGATTGCTCGATGATTGGCGCTGTGCCAACAACTCGCAATAATGGCTGGCAGGGGCACATTCGTGTAACAGCGCTTGTGCGTAGTACATGGGTCACGGCGATTGCGCGGAGTGGCGCGGCACCTCCACGCGTGCGTTGGCGGTGGTTCAGCCGACTCGCGTGGCTTCCTTTTGAGCGCGGCGGTCCCGCATGCTGCGCCACTCGCTAGCGCGCTCTGCGCAGTTTGCCCGTCTGCGGGCCGCCGCGGGGGGGGGGGGGGGGCCGCGGCGCAGGCGATCGCGACGCGGGCGAACGCCAGCGCGCCGCTACCGCCGCAGGCCCCAGCGCGGCCACAGCGCCACTGCCAGCGTAGATCGCAATGTTTGATCGAGGCTGTCAGAGGAGGAGGCGGGGGACATGGGGGGGGGGGGGCAAGGGCGCATTCTCCAAGTCAAGGCAACAATGAGTCAACGACGGCTCACATCAAAGTAGCAAGTCGATCCCTGGGTGGCTCGACATCCTCGCGGGGCTCAGGGTTGCGCTACTTTCGGAAACAGCGGATCGCATATAGAGCGTCGGCGAATCTATTTCGAGCATCGAGGCGCCGATCCCTGAACGCTCTGCCGCTCAGCCAATCGGCCTCGATCATGCGGGCATCGTGGTCTGCAGCTTCCGTTTCAAACCATGCAATCATAAGGCCCATCGGCCTCCCCGTGGATTTCACGCCATAGTGGGCTGGACGGGTCAAAGCGCACTTGCCGTGGCCTGCCCCCCTGCATCGGGCCTTAAACTTATTCCCGAGCCGACGCCGTGCGATGGCGCCTCCTGGGGGCACTGGCGACGGCCGAGGCATACCTGCATCGGGGGGCGCAGCCTCTTCGTGGATTCCAGCGGGAGGAGGGGGCGCAGGGGCGGCAGGAGGTTCAGGCGGCTCTGGTGGCGGCGGTAGAGGGGGGCCTGGGGCCTCCATGGGGCCGCCAACTCCGACGCCGCCTTCAGGTGGCCCATCCCCTTCGACGCCGTCCACCCTCAGCTCGACGTCGAGGTTCTCTTCGGCGACGCCCCCCCTTCGTCCCCAGGGAAACCGAATGCGCCCTCGAAATCCTCTGGGAAAGATGTTGCGCTTTGCCCCGCCCGCGCGCGCGTTTCCCAATGTTGCCCTCCCCGTGCTCTGCCCCTCCTGTCCACCCGCCCGACGCGTGTCCCCATCATGCCCTTTCCCGCCGGCGACAGATCCCCGCCCCCTTCTGTCCCCCCCCCCCCTCCTGCTCGCCCCCCCCCCTCGCAGCCTTGGCTCAGACGCGTGCATTTTAATTCCCCGGGGTCAAAGACGTCGTCGCCGACGAGGTCACTCAAAACGTCTGGCTCCTCGTCGTGATCGGAGACCGCCTCCCAAGCGACGGCGCCAGGGTCCGACTCGGCGTCGGCGCCGTCGTCGTGAGAAGCCTCGCCGCCCACGCCCATGCTGTCGTCGCCGTCACCTGGGCGATCTTCGATCGCCGCGTCGGGGGCAGGCAGGGGAGGGGTGGGGGTCAGGGCGGCCACCAGCACCTGGAGGTCTGCACCTTTCGGTTTGCCACCTCCCCCTCCTCCTCCTCGGGCCCTCGGTCTGGTCATCGGGTGCTCGACGCCGCCCAGTGGGCATGCTCGTGCTGTGTTGATTGAGACCTTGGCCACAGGTCGCTCGCTCATATCCAGGCAATAGAACTTCGAAGACCAGATCATATCAGCACGAGGCTCACAAAGATCGAGCGCATCCGAATGGTGGTGCAATTCAGCAACAGACTCGAGCGTTACATGTCCACCAACGCCTTCAGTACCATCCGAATCCACGTCTTGAAGCGTGATCTCGTAAGGGCTGAGCGATACGTACGCTATGTACCAGAACTGCTCTACCTCGTACGGGTCCTCGGGGTCACTACCACGCGTCCGCCCATGAAGGCGAATGAAGACATCCGAGGCCCTGAGCTTCTGGACATTCAAAGTTCCACGGCAGCAGATGCGCTTCATGTTACCATACTCAGAACACGAACATACACCAGCCTTCCAACAAGCCGTGGGACCATCGTCGTCGTCATCAAGTGGAGGGCAATCTACACGCTTTACTTGTAAGTGCTTGCCAGACCACCAGGCATCAAGTGCTGGCCCGAGGTTGCAAGTATTCCTATGCTTTTGGAACGAAAAATCATCTTGGTGGCAACTGTGGGCACGTCGGGCTCCATCCGGAAACACCTCATACACCCGCAGAGGGTGCAAAGCAGGTGGCCAACTGCGCTCGAGGAGCCCAACGTTTTGCTCATCAGTTCGTCGCGCTGCGCCACAGTGTACTGCAAATCGCGCCCCGGCAATGCAGACACTTCCTGGGATTCGAGCTTCGCGCGCACCTTCTCCCAGGGCGCACGCTGCTGGCGAGCGAGCTTTTTGATGTCGTGCAAGGATTGCCCAGACAAGAACAGCTCGTCGTGCAAAGTCCTCCGCTGCTCGGGATCCAGCGAAGCAGCCACTCCGCGCATGTGAGGACGTCGCCCCTCTGTCTTCCCACGACGTCCCGAACGTCGTCGCGCCGAGGAGCAAGGGCAAGGGACGCCGGCAACCCCTCCGATACAGTTCTCGCTTCTGGCCTCAGATATTGCCCGACAAGCAGCCTCGTCGTCGTCGCTGAGATTTTTGTGCTGCGCGGCCAGTTTTTTCAAGTCAGGGGCCCCTTGCTTCCCAGCCGTCTCCATTGCAACGAAAGTTCGCAAAGTGCCAGGGGAACGGGTTTTCTGCGCCCGCGCGGTGTCCTGGGTCCCAGCAGCGTCGCCAGTCACCCCCGCGCTCACGGACTCCGAAAGAATGCTTTCGAATGTCGACCCCCGCATCTTGTAGTCTGCTGCCCGTCGCTGGTATATTTGAGCAACCCAGAAACGCGCGAGGGCCTGCAACTCGATTGAATTGGCTCGCGCACGCAGGAGAAGGCGCCGAAGAGCAGCGTGGCGGCATTCAATGTCGGCAGTGGTCATGCGCACCATCTTCGCCAACAACAAGAGCACGTACGTACCGCGTCCCAGGAGCCTCCAAGTTGCACTTTTTCAAAAAAGGAAAGAAGAAACGATCGCGAGCACGTCCTTGGTGCAGTCGGCCTCTGCTTTCAAGCTGCGTCCGAGGTCTGGGCTCTTCACTACCAAGAACAGCTTAAGCGGGGAACGCTCATGGATGTCTTGAAGCTTGGCGTGGATCAGAGCACCCGTTCTGCTGGAACTCCTGGAAACGAAGCTGGCAGCGTTCGCCGTGCATGCGTTCCGAAGGATCAGTGTCATGGCCTCGTGCTCCACAATGCCCTCGGCCGCCTCAACGATCGGGTAGCTCCGAACGATCTGCCCTGAACGTCCGTCAACCTCCTTGGCTTCGGGCGCATATTGATGTCTCTCGTAAGCTGGAGAGCCAATGTAGATTCATCGCCGCTGCAACCGTTGCAACGGCTAGGTTGGCGAACGGATCTGAGAGTAGCCACCCAGCTGCTTTCTTTCTGTGGTGCTCATTCAGCTGGTCTGGCGTCAAGCCTGCAGGGGCCATGGACTGGCCGTCGTCGCCGCCAACCGCAGGGTCGTCGCGCGTTGGAGGAGCACCGCCGCCGCGAGCGCCAGGTGGATCCTGGGAAGGGCGAGCGCTCGAACGCTCCATGCCGCCAGTGGTGGCCTCCTGAATATTACCACCATCGCCGAGATCGGGATCTGATCCCGATCTCGGCGATGGTGGTAATATTCAGGCTTCCAAGGTGACCGAAATATTACCACCAACACCGAAATCGAGGATCATCTTCCGCCAATGGAGGCACACCGCCGATTTTGGTGTTGGTGCCCATTTCCAGGCCTTCAAAAAAGGGGGGGGGGCAGGAGGGATCGGACGGACAGGAGGAGAAGAGGAGAGACAGATTTTTTGGGCGCGCGCAGGAGGCCACCACTGGCGCTCGCGGCGGCGGTGCTCCTCCAACGCGCGACGACCCTGCGGTTGGCGGCGACGACGGCCAGTCCATGGCCCCTGCAGGCTTGACGCCAGACCAGCTGAATGAGCACCACAGAAAGAAAGCAGCTGGGTGGCTACTCGCAGATCCGTTCGCCAACCTAGCCGTTGCAACGGTTGCAGCGGCGATGCATCTACATTGGCTCTCCAGCTTTTTCCCTCGGCGGAGGCATATCGCCGATATTGGTGTTGGTGTCAACCTCTAGGCCTACGACTCCCTCCGCTCCCTCCAGCCCGTTCCCCTTGCGCGGCTGTCTACCAGGCAGTGGCTCCGACCGCCAGACCCCCGAATCGTCCCGATGATCCCCGAGAGCCCCGGGTGTCCCGCGTCGCGCCCGACCAACCCCTCTTTGCATACTGCACACCGCGGCCGCCAGACCCCAAATCGTCCCGATGATCCCCGAGAGCCCCGGGTGTCCCGCCTCGCGCCCGACCAACCCCTCTTTGCATGCTGCATACCGCGGCTGCCGGACCCCAAATTGTCCCGATGATCCCCGAGAGCCCCGGGTGTCCCGCCTCGCGCCCGACCAACCCCTCTTTGCATACTGCATACCGCGGCCGCCAGACCCCGAATCGTCCCGATGATCCCCGAGAGCCCCGGGTGTCCCGCCTCGCGCCCGACCAACCCCTCTTTGCATACTGCATACGCGGCCGCCAGACCCCGAATCGTCCCGCTGTCCCGCCTCGCGCCCGACCACCCCTCTTTGCATACTGCATACCGCGGCCGCCAGACCCCGAATCGTCCCGATGATCCCCGAGAGCCCCGGGTGTCCCGCCTCGCGCCCGACCAACCCCTCTTTGCATACTGCATACCGCGGCCGCCAGACCCCAAATTGTCCCGATGATCCCCGAGAGCCCCGGGTGTCCCGCCTCGCGCCCGACCAACCCCTCTTTGCATACTGCATACTGCGGCCGCCAGACCCCAAATTGTCCCGATGATCCCCGAGCCCCGGGTGTCCCGCCTCGCGCCCGACCAACCCCTCTTTGCATACTGCATGCATACTGCGGCCGCCAGACCCCAAATCGTCCCGATGATCCCCGAAAGCCCCGGGTGTCCCGCCTCGCGCCCGACCAACCCCTCTTTGCATACTGCATATTGCGGCCGCCAGACCCCGAATTGTCCCGATGATCCCCGAGAGCCCTGCATACTGGTGTCCCCCCCCCGGGTGTCCCGCCTCGCGCCCGACCAACCCCTCTTTGCATACTGCATACCGCGGCCGCCAGACCCCGAATCGTCCCGATGATCCCCGAGAGCCACGGGTGTCCCGCCTCGCGCCCGACCAACCCCTCTTTGCATACTGCATACCGCGGCCGCCGGACCCCAAATTGTCCCGATGATCCCCGAAAGCCCCGGATGTCCCGCCTCGCGCCCGACCAACCCCTCTTTGCATACTGCATATTGCGGCCGCCAGACCCCAAAGTGTCCCGATGATCCCCGAGAGCCCCGGGTGTCCCGCCTCGCGCCCGACCAACCCCTCTTTGCATACTGCATACTGCGGCCGCCAGACCCCAAACTGTCCCGATGATCCCCGTGAGCCCCGGGTGTCCCGCCTCGCGCCCGACCAACCCCTCTTTGCATACTGCATACTGCGGCCGCCAGACCCCAAATTGTCCCGATGATCCCCGAGAGCCCCGGGTGTCCCGCCTCGCGCCCGACCAACCCCTCTTTGCATACTGCATACTGCGGCCGCCAGACCCCAATTGTCCCGATGATCCCCGAGAGCCCGGGTGTCCCGCCTCGCGCCCGACCGACCAACTGCATACGCGGCGCCGAAGAATCTTGTCCCGAGAGCCCGGGTACCGCCTCGCGCCGACCAACCCTCTTTGCATACGCATACCGCGGCCGCCAGACCCCAATCGTCCCGATGATCCCGAGAACCCGGGTGTCCGCCTCGCGCCGACCAACCCCTCTTTGATACTGCATACGCGGCCGCCAGACCCAAATGTCCCGTGATCCCGAGAGCCCCGGGTGTCCCGCCTCGCGCCCGACCAACCCCTCTTTGCATACTGCATACTGCGGCCGCCAGACCCCAAATTGTCCCGATGATCCCCGAGAACCCCGGGTGTCCCGCCTCGCGCCCGACCCACCCCTCTTTGCATACTGCATACTGCGGCCGCCAGACCCCGAATTGTCCCAATGATCCCCGAGAGCCCTGGGTGTCCCGCCTCGCGCCCGACCAACCCCTCTTTGCATACTGCATGCTGCGGCCGCCAGACCCCAAATTGTCCCGATGATCCCCGAGAGCCCCGGGTGAGTCTCCCCCGGCATACTGCATACTGCGGCCGCCAGACCCCAAATTGTCCCGCCTGATCCCCGAGAGCCCGACCAACCCCTCTTTGCATACTCGCGCCCGACCACCACCCCTCTTTGCATACTGCATACTGCATTGTCCCGATGATCCCCGAGAGCCCCGGGTGTCCCGCCTCGCGCCCGACCAACCCCTCTTTGCATACTGCATACTGCATACTGCGGCCGCCAGACCCCAAATCGTCCCGATGATCCCCGAAAGCCCCGGGTGTCCCGCCTCGCGCCCGACCAACCCCTCTTTGCATACTGCATATTGCGGCCGCCAGACCCCGAATTGTCCCGATGATCCCCGAGAGCCCTGGGTGTCCCGCCTCGCGGCCGACCAACCCCTCCTTGCATACTGCATACCGCGGCCGCCAGACCCCAAATCGTCCCGATGATCCCCGAGAGCCCCGGGTGTCCCGCCTCGCGCCCGACCAACCCCTCTTTGCATACTGCATACTGCGGCCGCCAGATACTGCGGCCGCCAGACCCCAAATTGTCCCGATGATCCCCGAGAGCCCCGGGTGTCCCGCCTCGCGCCCGACCAACCCCTCTTTGCATACTGCATACTGCATACTGCGGCCGCCAGACCCCAAATCGTCCCGATGATCCCCGAAAGCCCCGGGTGTCCCGCCTCGCGCCCGACCAACCCCTCTTTGCATACTGCATATTGCGGCCGCCAGACCCCGAATTGTCCCGATGATCCCCGAGAGCCCTGGGTGTCCCGCCTCGCGGCCGACCAACCCCTCCTTGCATACTGCATACCGCGGCCGCCAGACCCCAAATCGTCCCGATGATCCCCGAGAGCCCCGGGTGTCCCGCCTCGCGCCCGACCAACCCCTCTTTGCATACTGCATACTGCGGCCGCCAGACCCCGAATTGTCCCGATGATCCCCGAAAGCCCCGGGTGTCCCGCCTCGCGCCCGACCAACCCCTACTTTGGCATACTGCATACTGCGGCCCGCCAGGCACCCAATTGTCCCGATGATCCACGAAGCCCCCTGGTGTCCCGCCTCGTGCATGCCCCACGAACCAAACCCCTCTTTGCATACTGCATACCTGTTGCGGCCGAGCAGAACCCCAAATTGTCCCCGATGATCCCTCGAGAGAAGCCCCCGGGCTTCCCGCCTCGGCCCGACAACCCCCTTTGCATACTGGCATACCATGTCGGCCGCCAGACCCCAAATTGTCCCTATGATCCCCGAGAACCCCCGGGTGTTCGCCTCCGCCCGACCAACCCATCTTTGCATACTGCATCACTGGCGGCCGCCCAGACCTCGAATTGTCCCTATGAATCCCGGAGCCCCTGGTGTACCCAGCCGCGCGCCCGACCACCCCTCTTTGCATACCGCGGCCCGTGACCAACCCCAAATCGTCCCGATGTATCCCCGAGAACCCCGGTGTGTTCCCCTCTCGCCCGACGCAACCCCGCAGCGCCCCACCGGAAGGGAACCGGCCGCCAACCCCAATCGTGCGAGTCCCGACGATCCCCGAGAACCCCGGGGTGTCCCCCTCGCGCCCGACTAACCCCTCTTTTGCATACCGCGGGCCGCCATACGCCCAATCCAGTCCCTAGATCCCGATAACGCCTGTGTCCGTGCCTCGCGCCCGACCGACAACCCCTCTTTGCATACTGCATAACCGCGGCGCCAACCCGCAAATCGCCCGATGATTCCCCGGAACCCCGGGTGTCCCGCCTCGCGCCCGACCAACCCCTCCTTGCATACCGCGGCCGCCAGACCCCAAATCGTCCCGATGATCCCCGAGAACCCCGGGTGTTCCGCCTCGCGCCCGACCAACCCCTCCTTGCATACCGCGGCCGCCAGACCCCAAATCGTCCCGATGATCCCCGAGAACCCCGGGTGTCCCGCCTCGCGCCCGACCAACCCCTCTTTGCATACCGCGGCCGCCAGACCCCAAATCGTCCCGATGATCCCCGAGAACCCCGGGTGTCCCGCCTCGCGCCCGACCAACCCCTCCTTGCATACCGCGGCCGCCAGACCCCAAATAGTCCCGATGATCCCCGAGAACCCCGGGTGTCCCGCCTCGCGCCCGACCAACCCCTCTTTGCATACCGCGGCCGCCAGACCCCAAATCGTCCCGATGATCCCCGAGAACCCCGGGTGTCCCGCCTCGCGCCCGACCAACCCCTCTTTGCATACCGCGGCCGCCAGACCCCGCATTGTCCCGATGATCCCCGAGAACCCCAAGTGTCCCGCCTCGCGCCCGACCAACCCCTCTTTGCAATACCGCGGCCGCCAGACCCCGAATGGTCCCGATGATCCCCGAGAACCCCAAGTGTCCCGCCTCGCGCCCGACCAACCCCTCCTTGCATACCGCGGCCGCCAGACCCCAAATCGTCCCGATGATCCCCGAGAACCCCGGGTGTTCCGCCTCGCGCCCGACCAACCCCTCCTTGCATACCGCGGCCGCCAGACCCCAAATCGTCCCGATGATCCCCGAGAACCCCGGGTGTCCCGCCTCGCGCCCGACCAACCCCTCCTTGCATACCGCGCGGCCGCAACCCAAATCTTCCCCGATGATCCCCGAGAACCCCCGGGTGCCCGCCTCGCGTCCCGCCTCGCGCTCCTTTGCATACCGCGGCCGCCAGACCCCAAATCTGTCCCGATGATCCCCGAGAACCCCGGGTGTCCCCGTCCCCTCGCGCCGACAAACCCTCTTTGCATACCCGGCCGCCAGACCCCAATCGTCCCGATGAATACCGAGAACCCGGGTGTCCTCCTCGCGCCCGACAACCCCACCTTTCATACCGCGGCCGCCAGACCCCCGATCTCCCGATGATCCCCGAGAACCCCGGGTGTCCCGCCTCGCGCCCGACCAACCCCTCCTTGCATACTGCATACCGCGGCCGCCAGACCCCAAATCGTCCCGATGATCCCTGAGAACCCGGGTGTCCCGCCTCGCGCCCGACCAACCCCTCTTTGCATACCGCGGCCGCCAGACCCCAAATCGTCCCGATGATCCCCGAGAACCCCGGGTGTCCCGCCTCGCGCCCGACCAACCCCTCCTTGCATACTGCATACCGCGGCCGCCAGACCCCAAATAGTCCCGATGATCCCCGAGAACCCCGGGTGCCCCGCCTCGCGCCCGACCAACCCCTCTTTGCATACCGCGGCCGCCAGACCCCGAATCGTCCCGATGATCCCCGAGAACCCCGGGTGTCCCGCCTCGCGCCCGACCAATGCCACCCTGTCTACCGCGGCCGCTAGGCCCCACATGTTCCCGATGATCTCCGAGTCTTCGGTGTTCCGCATCACGCCCTTGACGAACACGATAGAACACAACATGACAGAACAGACCTTGACATAACAGAACACAGCCTGACAGAACATGATTGAACATAACATGTCCATAGCATGATACAATACACCATATCAAAGCATCCAGAACATACCAGAACAGAACATGGCAGAACAGAAAACGGCATAACACAACACAGCGTAACATAGCTGAGCATAACGTAGCACACCTTAACATAACAAGCCATACCATGACACAGCATCACATAACTCATCATAACACGACAGCAGAGCGTAGCGACGATAAACACGACAGAATACAACATTACCCAACAGAACATGACAACATATAACACGAGCACAACAGAGCATGACATACCAGAACATAGCAATGCCATTCCAAAACATATCATAGTAACACATCACATAACATGCCAGAGCAGAGCATACAATAACATAACACGACATACCACACCATAACATACAAGAACCAAACATACCGTACCACAACACATATTATGTCATGACGCAACATCACAGTGCATGTCAGAACACGACAGCAAATAATAGCGACACATACTAGAAAATAATGTCATACTCTACTGTACAGAGCTAAGCCGTCAACAAACATAACATTATTGAACACACAGGAACAGACTATGACAAAAAGAAGTCAGCATAACACACCATGACAAAAACGATCATGACATAACACACCTTGACCTAACACAGCATAGCATTACCCAGCATCAGATACCGCATCATAACACGACAGCAGAGCATATCCACGACGAACACGACATAACACAACAGAACATGACAGAGCAGATCACGAGCATGACAGACCATGGCAGAACAGAGCATAACAATGTCATGACAAATTAGGGCATGACACAATATCACAGAACATATCATAGCAGAACATGCCAGAACAACAGACGAGATAGCACAACATCACGTACCATAACCAAGCATAACGTAACCCACCTTCACATAACGTATCATACATGATATAATAACACTGCACATATCATAACACGACAGCAGAGCATAGCGACGATAAACACGACAGAACACAACGTGACAGAAGAGAACACGACAGAAGATAACACGAGCATTACCGAACATGCCAGACCATAGCATAACAACATCATGACACATAAAAACACAATGTAACATCACATCTAATACCAGAACAACGCATGACTTGATAGACAATCTCATAACAAGCCATAACGAAACATAGCCACGCATAACACAACACACCTTGACATAACATTTCCACAGCATCACAGAACACATCATAACAGGACAACAGAGCATAACAACACATACCAACATAACATATCATAATATACTGTACAGGGCCGAGCCGTAAACAAACAGAACAGCACAGAACATACCAGAGCAGAACATGAAAGACCAGAAGATGACATAACATAACAAAACAGAACTTTGCCGAGCATGACGTAACACACCTTGACATAACAGATCACATCATGCCACAGCATCGCAGAACATATCATGACACGACAGCAGAGCATAGCGACGACGAACACGACAGAACACAACGTGACAGAAGAGAACACGACAGAAGATAACACGAGCATTACCAAACATGCCAGACCATAACATAGCAACGTCATGACACATAAGAACACAATACAACATCACATCTAATACCAGAACAACACATGACATGATAGACAATCTCATAACAAGCCATAAAGAAACATAGCCACGCATAACACAACACACCTTGACATAACATATCCACAGCAACACAGAACGCATCAGAACACGGCAACATAGCATAGCGACACATACCAACATAACATATCATATGATACCGGAGACAAACCCCAATCAGGGCTATAGGGCTAGGGGGCTATAGGGCTATAGAGCTATTGAGCTATAGGGCTATAGAGCTATAGGGCTATAGAGTTGTAGGACTATGGGGCTATGGGGCTATTGGGCTAGAGGGCTATAGGGCACCCCCGGGCACCCCTGGGCACGCCCGGGCACCCGAGCACCCCCCGGGCACCCGGACCCCGTGTAACCCCGGGCACCCGGGCACCCGGGCGTGCAGCGAAAATCGGCGACAAACCTAACCTAACCATATGAATCCGCTAGGACCCCTACAGAGGCAAACTCTGATTGGGGAAGTATACTGTACAGGGGCGAGCCGTAAACAAACAGAACAGCACAGAACATACCAGAGCAGAACATGACAGACCAGAAGATGATATTTCACAACAAAACAGAACTTTGCCGAGCATGACGTAACATAGCTTGACAGAACATACCACATCATGCCACAGCATCACATAACATATCATGACACGACAGCAGAGCATAGAGACGAAGAACACTACATAACACAACATACTATGACAGAACATAACACAAGCATGGCAGACCATGGCATAATCTAACATTACAATGTCATGCCAAACTAGGGCATAACATAACATCACATACCATACCAGAGAAGAACATGGCAGAACAGAAGACGACAGAACACAACATAACACAACATACCAAACATAACACAGCACACCTTGACACACCATGTCATACCATGACACAGCATCACATGTTATAGCATAGCACGACAGCAGAGCATAGCGACTACGAACACGACAGGGCAACACATGGACCACATAGCATGACATAATAGAACACGAACATGACAGAACATGACAGAAGAGAACATAGCAATGCCATGACAAAAGAGAGCATAACACAACGTCACATACCACACCAGCAGAACATGCCAGAACAGAAAACGACAGAACACAACATAACATGCACCACCGAGCATCACATGACACACCTTGCCATAACATATTATACGATGGCACATAACCACGTAACATGTCATGATACGACAGCACATGACAGCGACACATACTAGCAAACAATATTAGGATATACTATACAGATCCGAGCCGTCGACAATCAGGACATCACGTAACATACCAGAACAGAACATGGCATAACAGAAGATGGCATAACACACCATCACCGAGCATACCATAGCACACGTTGACATAACATATCATATCATGACACAGCAACAGAGAACACATCAAAACACAACAGAAGAACTTATCGACGACGAACACGACAGAACACTACATGGCACAACATAATATGACAGAACGCGTCAAACTGCGGCTCTCCATCCGTTTCGCACCGCACGTCTTCGAACCTTGTGTTTTGCCCCGGGGTCTCTTCCAATTTCTTTCTAAAAATCGAACAAAAAATAAACAAAGAAAAAAAAAAACAGATATAAAGGCTAAAAAGTAACGGAAAAGAAAAAGACTAGAAGGTAGATAATCTATTAAGGAATCGAAAAAAAATATGAATAACGGTAGGGAAAGGAAAAAAAGGGATAACAAAGATGAAGGCCAATTAAAAATGGTAAAGAAGAGAAAGACAATGTCAGAAAAGACTCGAGACTACAAAAACACCTCTTGAGCTTGCTGGTTTGGGAAACATCGGAATTCGCCACCCGGCCCGACCGCCGCACTGGCCGAGACCACAGGGCATCGCTCACAGCGTTCCACCAATTAGGTGACCGCGCGCCGTCGGGAACAAACGCTGAAGATTTCGGTGGGGATCGCTTGAAGCAGATGCTTCCAGGGTCTCCAACTCTTGTGAATTCATGATGAAACATGTTACGCTAAACACCCTGCACCCTCGCCTTACGAAGGGAAACGGGTGTCTGCGGACCCCGTGATAACCGTTCGCGGGGTAGAATGGAGAAAGCGGCCGGGATGCATTGATGCAGGGGCCTCCTGCGCCTGGGCCCCTGGAGGGTGTGCTCGCTGCAAAACTGGTGTGAAACAGGCGCGAGCAGAAGCGAGACGACGCGGCATGCTGACCGACGAGAAATTGATCGAAGGTGGACGCCTGGACAAATGTCACAGTGTCAAGAACGATGACGGCTTCCGCCTCTGACGGCGGCGCCTCGTCGAGGAGGATGCTCTGCGGGATGCACTGCGGACGAAGACAACGTCCTCCAGCACCAGCAGGGTTCGTGTAGAGGGGGTCACGTCGCTGCCGCCATCCTCTGCGACATCCAATTTCAACAGTACGTTCGCAGATATTTCGCGGACTCCATAGCCCATGTGAGGCAGACGAAGACGGACATTGAATGGCGCCACGCAGAGCTCTTCATCATGGGCACTGTCGCCAAACTCGTGATTATCCATGCTATTGTTGTAAGCTCCCTCTGCCCATTCCATAAACGCGTCGCGATTGACGACCCACTGCAGCAACCCTGCGCCTTCGCATAGAGGTCCACTCAGACTCAAGAACTCGGCGGAGCACTGCAAGATAGGCAAACCGTGGCCTTCTGGGTTGATATGGACAGTCATCCCCCCGCACTCGGTTCCGATCAGTACACCAGAAGAGGAGCTCCCTGAAACGCTGATCGAGTCCTCCGAGATTCCTGCTAAAAGGCTACAAGGCGGTATCACCTGGCTATCGCGAAGCTTGCCCTCAGGCGGCGCCCGGAGCTCTTCGGAATCTTCCTTCAAACCCACTATGTGAATCGGCTCGTCGTCTATGTCAATACCGTGGGCGTGGAACAGCTGAAACTTTACAGTCATGCCCCATGAATCTTTCAACGAAACGTGAACCGTGCTAGTATCAGACATTGGTCGCTCCAAGAATGCAGTCAAACGGTCCTTCTCCGACGCGTCAGCCGCTAGATCAACAAATGAGACACCAACACCCATCGTTGTGGGCGATCTGAGAAGCAATGTGGCAAGATGTGCGGCCGGCTTCGAAAACTGAAAATCTCGCGACATATGCACCACAGCGTCGCACACACTTGACAAGAGACCGCCCGCTATGGACTCAACACTTCGCGAAGTCTTTGCCTCCAACACTGCCAAAAACTCCGCGTCGCGGGACTTTCTGACGGAAGCTGTTATGGCGAACACAAGGAGCGACACAATCAACTCCTGACGCGTGTCGGCGGGTTCATACACTGGCGAAACACCTGCGACGTACATAAGACCTAACATAAGAGTCACTCTAGGTCTGCAATGAATAATACTCACTGCGAGACGTTCGCAGATTCTCACTGGGCTGGCTTTCAAGAAAGCGACGCTGTTTTCGGCAGTAATCGCAAGGTATAAGACGACAATATACAGGAGAACGTGGAACAAGAACACGACACTCGGGGTGAACAACCTTGGCTTGAGAGTCCCTGCCATCAGGAATGTAGTCAGTGCCGCGTTGCCGAGGCGCACCGCTGAGGACATATCATTTTGCACCAGTTGAATTATGTTATAGCAGAAGGCAAAGACGAGTATCCTGGGGCACCCCCAAACCACTTGCTCTGAGAGTCGCTTGTCTGCCATATCCTTCAATTGACGATGTAGCGGGTGCGGTGGTGACATGAAGAGCAGCCACTTTGCCGTAGCATTGAAATGATCATAGACTGAGCCCCACCGCGGGAAGAAACCAAACAGCCCAAAGCTGCGAAACCGCCAGACAATGACAACGAACGTCAGGCAGTTAAAAGGGATAAGTATGATAAGCCAGATACGCTCGTTCAACATGATTGGGCCCAAAATGGCCGCTGCCCTGGGCTAGGCGCTAAGTCCGTTTCACTGAGATGCGCCTGGATCTGGGCCTCTCGCTTGAGCCAGAATGGCAACATATGCATTATTGGGCCGTCTTGGGAAACTCTCGGGCTGTCTTCGGCCCCTCCTGAGCAGTCCGTGTGCCACGCAAAAGAAATTGCAAGACGACGCCGAAGCATTATTTCAAGCATGCGATGCTGGAGATGCATTATTTGTTTGAGAACGTCCGCGGTGCTGCCGTTCCAACCCGCCTGGCCGTTTCAACCCGCCTCGCTTGTTCAACCCGCCTGGGCCTTTGAACTGGCCTTGCCGTTTTGACCCGAACGCCCGCTTCAAAACGCATGGCCATTGCGACCGCGTGACTGTTTTTCATCGGAATCGCCATCTAAACCCGCCTGGCCGCGCTGATATCCATGTCGTTTTAACCCGCCTGGCCGTTGCAACCCGCTTGGCCGTTTCAAGCCGCCTGGGCATTCTGACTCGCCTGGTAGTGTCAAATCGCTTGGCCGTTTTCACTCGCCTGGCCGATTTAACTCGCCTGGCCGTTTGAACCCACCTGGCCATTTTAGCACGCGTGGCCGTTTTAATCCGCCTGGCCGTTTGAACCCGCCTGGCCGCTTTCACCAGCCTGGCCGTTTTGATCCGCCTTCTCGTTTGAACCCGCTCGTCCACGTTAATCCGCCTGGCCGTTTGAGACCGCCTGGTTGTTTCAACTACCCGGCCGCGCTGACATCCTCGGCCGTCTTGACCCGCAGGGCGATTTTAAGCCACCTGGTCGTTTTAGCCAACCTGGCAATTTGAACCAACGTGGCCGTTGGAACCGGCCTGGCCGTCTTAACCTAATTGGCAGTTTGAACCCGCCTGCTAACTTTACCCGCCTGTTCATGATAATCCGCCTGGTCGTTTTGAACCGCCTAGCCACCTTCGCGGGCCGTATTCGTGGAGCGACAACAACACGACAACATATCATGTTGTATTCCCCACATCCTACGTAGGGATCTTGTTTTCCCTGGACACCACGCGCAGGAACGGTTCGACCCCTCCTCCTGTCACAATTATCGCCATCACCACCACCATCATCATCATGCGCAATCACCATCATCATCACCATGATGTTCAATCATAACAACTTACCATCTTCATCATCAGCACCCCCAACCTACCGAATGAGGTTGTTGTTTCCTGACGACATCCCACGCAATACTTCACCCCCTTTCCTTCTCTCTCTCTCTCTCCTTTTCTCTCTCGCTCACTCTCTTCCCCCCCCCCCTCCGTCTCATCCTCATCCTCATCCGCAATCTCATTCACTCACGCACTCGTCGTTCACCATTCACTTACTCACCCGCCACCGCACCGTGAGCATGACCATCATGATCACGATCACCATCATCAACCGTCATCATGTCACACGCACCCACGCATTTACTTCACACTCTCACACACTCACTCATTTTACACATACACGCACATAGTCATATCGAGGGAAATTCCGAGCGGAAGCCCCCTCCCGATGGGTCCCGCATCTCACGGCTTTAATATCACTTGGGTCCCCTTCAAAACTGTAACTTTCATCAATGTTGAGCTCTTTTGGCCTGAATCTGGAGGAAGTCTCGACCGAACACCTCGTCGGTGAGCGAATTACAACGACATCGCATGCGGAAGCCCCCTCCCTATGGCGCCCGCGCCTCGCCTTTTTTAATCCCACGGGGTCATCCTCGCACCTGTACGTGTTGTCACTTTGGGCCCCCTCAGGCCTGACAGTGGAGAAAAAACTCAAACGCGAGCATCGTCTGTGAGTGAATTGCGGGAGTCACTCCCCATGGGGCCATCCTCAAACCTGTAAGCGTCGTCCCTTTAATAAGACGAGAAGAATCGATTGACGACACACCGTGCTATTGATACGTTCCAGAGATTCCGGGATTTCTAACAGCCTTCGCGCGGGGTGCACTTTGCGTCGAGAATTGTCTACTCTGGCTGGGGCCGCTGGTCGGTCACCCATTCGCAATCGAGTGGTCGCCCGTAAGGGGCTATTTTGCACTTGCTGACCCCCCTTGTCGTTGCTGAGCGCGAGGGGGACGGTGGCCTCCGCAGGGAGGACAGCCCTCCCGAGGGCACCAAGGTTCGCCGCGGCGGTGCGCCGCGGCACAATCTGAATGCCCGCGCGCCCCTCGCACGCGGTGGGTGACTACCTACCAGATCACCCCAACCCAATCCGAAGACACGAATTTGACCCGAATTTCGGGTTTGGGGGGGGTACGGGGACCATGTGTTTTTTCGATGTTCCCCGATCCCCCCCACTGGAACTGGAGGGCAAATTGAAGCCTTCGGGTTGGGTTGGGGTGGTTTGGTGGGTGGTGAGTGGGGAAAATCAATTGGCGAATCCAAAACACAGGCTGCGCTGCGCCTAAACATTCCGATATCCCCTCCAGTCGGGTGCGACCCCAAGGAGGGCCGCGCTGCCCAAAACTCCACCAAACGCAACCCGAATGCAAACTTAGACGCCACGACTTGGCAGCGACGCTGCCCTTGTCGCGGCTCTTGCTATGAATTGCGGCTGGCAAGAATTCGGCTGGCACGCGGCAAAAAAAAACACCAACAGGAATTCGGCAGGAATCTTCAAATAAAAACAATCATTCTGCACAAATGCCAGAAATGAGCAGAAACCTCACGGATGGCGCGAAAAAAACAGGACATGGGCAGGCACACCTAAGCTTGCGACAAGAACAAACACAGTACATGGGCAGGACAACCTTGCATCCGGCGGATAAAAAACAGGAAATGTGCAGACACACCTTGCACTTGGTGCGAAATAAGCATGCAGTGGGAAGGAAAACCTTGCAATCGGCAGGAAAAAAACAGCTGGAAATGGGCACGGCAACCTTTTTGCACTCGGCACGAGCGCAAGATATGAAAAAGAAAACCTTGCACTCGATAAATAATGCACAGTGAACGGGAAAGAAAGCAAGACATGGTTAGCAAACACATTGAATTAGCAAAGACAACAAGTGCGGCAGGACAACCTTGCATCCGGAAGGAAATAAACAGGAGATGAAAAGGAACACCTCGCTTTCGGAAGGACGGAAACAAAGGACAGGAAACTTTGCATCCGGCAGGAAATCTGCAAAACATTGTCACCACAACCTCGCATTCGGCAGGCAATGCGCAAGACACGGGCAGGACGACCATACTTACATTCGGTACGAAATGGATAAGCAACGAGCAGGACAACACTGCACTCGGCAACAAAAAACAAAGGCATTGATAAAACAACCTTTCATTCTGCACGACAGAAACCGGGAATGACAGCGATAACCTGGTACTCGGCAACAAAAATGTCAAGCAGACCTTGCATTCGGCAGGAAATAAACAGGACATGAGGACATGACGATACATTCGGCACGAAATGGACAGGCAATGGGCAAGACACCTTGCACTCGGGACAAAAAGAAATAAAACATGGGCGACAAACCCTTTGCACCCAGCGCGGAATAACCAAGAAATGAAAGAAGAAAGCCTTGCACTCGGCAGGACATGCGCAAGACGTGGGCAGAACACCGTTGCTCTCGGCAGGACATGGGCAGGAACTGGGCAAGACGACCTTGCATTCGGCAGGAACCAAACCGGAAATGGTCAAGACAACCTCGGATTCGACCCCTCTGCGTTCCTGGCCCGTCGTCAGCGAGTCCCTGGCCGCAGCGCCAGCGGCGTGTGGAATTCCGGGCAAGTCCCCGCAAGTTCCCGCGTTCGCGCGGCGGGCCTGGTCCTCTTCCGCTTGCCTCCAGTCCCCCGCCCCCTCCCCCCCCCTTCCCCCTCCCCCGGCCTCCGCCCCCTACCGTTTTTTCTTGGGGGGGGGGGGTCCCTCGTCGCCGCCGCCGCCGTCGTCGTCGTCGTCGTCGTCGTCGTCGTCGTCGTCGCCTCGTCGCTGTCGTCCGCGGCGTCGTCGCTGGCGCCCGTGGCGTCGTGTCGCCCTCGGATTCCTCCTCCTCCTCCCTTTCCTGCCCTTCCTCCTCGCCCCCTCCTCTGCGTTCCCCGCCCACCTCCGCCTCCTCCGCCTCCTCCTCCTCCTCCTCCTCCTCCCCCTCCTCCTCCTCCTCCTCCTCCCCCTCCTCCTCCTCCCCCTCCCCCTCGTCCTCCTCCTCCTCCTCTTCCTCTTCCCCGTCGTCCTCACCTTCCCCCCCCCCGCCCCTCGCCCTCGCCGCCCCCGGTCCTCACCACCTCCTCGTTCCCGACGCCTCTTCCGCCCCGTCCTCGGCCTGCTCCTTTTCCCTCCCTTCCTGCCCCTCCCCCTCCTGGGTAATCGAAGCCAATCTGGCGCCAATCTGGCAGGCCCAATCTGGCAAACGGGGGCAATCTGGCAAGGGAGCCAACGCGAATCCAGTCTGGCGAATAACCCAAATCCTCCAATCTGGCCTGGCCAGATTGGCCCTTGGGGCCCAATCCAATCTGACAGTCTGGCCTTCGACTGCCCAGCCCTCCTCCTCCCTCCCCCGCCCCTCTCCCAAGCCTGACCGCCAAACGGGCGCGCTTATTGCAGGTCCGTCCAAATCCTGAGGTGCGAACCGACGGCAGCCCTCGCGAAAACACTGTTTGTGGAACTTGTTATCGGCGCCACCAGTGCCGCGTCGCGCCGCGTCTGCGCCATCACAACAACCTCCGACGCCGCAGCCACCTTTTCCGCCCCTGCCGCCGCCGCTGCGATTTCCAGGGGCGGCGGGTGCGCGGGCGGCGGGGGCGCCAATGGTTTGAGCGCGCAGGAAGGGCAGGGGGATGAGGGGGAGGGGGGAGGAGGATGAGGAGGATGAGGAGGATGATGATGATGATGATGATGATGATGATGATGATGATGAGGAGGAGGAGGAGGAGGAGTATGGGAAAAAAAAAAAGAAAAAAGAAAAAAAGAATAAAGGGTTGGGGGGGGTTTGGGGGAAAGAGGAGAGGAGGAGGGAGGAGGAGTTTGTCAGCGATCCCCTGGGGGC